ACGGCCTGCAGGCTGATGGGCAAGGCCGCCGCCGCAGCGACCGCCGCCGCCATCGTCGCCGCCGTCGTCGTCGTCGTCGTCGCCCTCGTCCTCGTCCTCGTCATCCTCGCGTCGTCGTTGTTCTCGTCGTCGCTCGCCGCGCTCCTCAGTCCCGGCAAAGAGAGACTGGCCGCCACAAGGGCTTCATTGGCGGGAGAGGGCGCAGGCGGGGTTCAAGGCCCGCAATGCAGAATCGTTCGCGTCCATCCTCATCCCCCCGTGCTCCCCCATCTCCTTCCGATTCAATTTTCTTCCCCGCATTCCTACTCCCTTTCATCATCAGTCACCCTTCTCTCCATCCCTCCCCCCTCCTTTTACCCGTCCGTCCATCCATCCTCCTTCCCATTTTCCCTCCCCCCCTCCTCACTGGCTGAGAGTAACTGGTGTCTCACATTGGCAGTCACTCGGATTTGCCATCACCCACCCGAGGAATTGTTCAATGGCGGCCCGCTCGCAGACCTGGCAGTTTGGTCAGTGACCCCTGGCACAGCGTCGCTCCCTCCTCTCCGTCAATCTCCCAGCTCCTCCTTGCTCGTTCCCCTTCCTTGCCGCGTCCCCCTTCCCCTTCTAATTATTTCCTTCTCCTCCTCCTCCTCCTCCTCCTCCTCCTCCTCCTTCTCTCACTCCTCTTCCTCCTCCTCCTCCTCCTCCTCCTTCGGGTTAGGTTGCCCCCTGCCCCCTGTCCCCCTCTTGTGAGGTCCATGGCCAGTTGGGCATGGCGCCCTGGCCTGCGTGCCTGCTGCTGTTCCTCACCATCGCGGGTCCCCTGGCGCCGCCATCAGCAAGGGAGACCCAGGGAGCAGAAAAACCAGAGGGAGGAGGAGAAGGAGGAGGAGGAGGAGGAAGAGGAGGAGGAGGAGGAGGAAGAAGACCAGGAGGAGGAAGAACAGGAGGAGGAGGACCAGCAGGAGCGTGAGGAGGAGGAGGAGGAGGAGGACGAAGTGTTTGGTTCCGGGAATGTCCATCCTCAGCACAGAGCGACCGCAGCTTCTGACTCGAAGTACTTGGCACGCCAACTTCCTTGCCAGAAACGCAACTGGTGCATGCTGCCCAGCGTGCCACCAACACAGCAAACACTTTCCGACCACAGCAGGGAGCCGCATGTCGGCTTCGCTTGGAGTTTGATTTTAGCCGACCAACGCGGTGAATGCGACGCGACAGTCGGTTTACTTGATCGTGACAGGGTGGCCAAGATTGCATTGGTTTTCCACGCCGAGGCCACGGACCACATGCTACAAGGTCTACGGGGTACAGAACGCAGAGTGGGCCGGCCAAATCCAGAAGCATGGACTGCAAGACAACGCCCTCGACGCCCCGCCAGAGTTCCAGCAACACGACCATTCGTGGATCATCCACACAACGACGATTTCAGCGTACAATCGTGCTGGACGACATCCCGCCCGGTGACCCATGACCACAATCAGGCGACCAAGTCTGCCAGAGTACACAAAGGAACACACAGAAACATGTACTGTCACGCCCAAGACCGAATGCACTTACATCGCAGTCCACGTCGGCCCCGCCTTCATGCTTATCAACACCCGAAGGAGATTGATGAATACCCTGTGCAGCCACCACCAAACCCTTTGCTACGTTGGTAACGCAAGCCAGCCATGGAAGAGCGAGGTCACGCCAGCAAACGACGACTTTTTGTGCACTTTCTTCAGACGCAACAGGACCACATGGGAAATCGGCCAGGCCTTGTTCCACTGGACGACGAGGCCCGTCCACGCCACTTACTACCTCACCATCGTGCGGCACAGGCTCAACAAGGACGGCACGCGGAGGACCACAACCGACGAGAAGGCCGTCTTCTCAACGCTACCATGGGAGCAGGGAGAGGACCTTGTCAACAACAATCCCATATATTTCAAAGTCGACCACCAGAGCAACCAAGGCGATACCCGAATCAACACCAAGCAAACCAACAAGGCCTTCTAGGGGCAGGTCTACCAGAATACCGACTTCGAGGACGCGGAGCGGAGGTCCATCCATTCGATCACCTACGCCCACAATGTTTACAAAGATATCGGTTTTGTTTCCCACGGCACCAACGCCGACGGCACGGCTGTCGAGGGCAGCGCAGTTGGCACATGATTGGCCAGACTTCCTGTAGGGCCCCGCGCCGACGCCGACGACCCAGCCTGCAGATGGGCGCCGCCCGGTGGGGGTCCCGCACTTAGAACTGTATCAATTACTTGCGACAGTACAAAGCGGAACGTTGCGCCCAACCCGCTGGCGCAGGCGAGCGCGCCATTTGGTGCGAGCGCCATTGCGGGCCACCTTCCTTCGGAAACCCACAAGGGGGCCCCCTTCGGCGACGTGGAGCTCCGCGGGCCATCCGACGCCCAGCCTTTCGGCCTGGCGATTGTCGCGCTTTCTGAACCCGCGTGGGCCGATCACGCCGAGGCCATAATGACGCGGCTACCCGAATTATGCATCGTGATTTTATGGGAGGAACAAAAAATTCCCCTTCATCGCGGGCGCCCGCGGGACCCGGGCAACCGACGTCCAGGAGTGCCCTGCCTGGGGCGCCGGCCGATGCCACCCGCGAGCGAGCCGTCGCAGCGTCCGCGGCCTCGCGCAATTGTCGACCCAGTGGCTTCGCCGAGGACCGCGAAGTTCTCGCGTAGATCGCCGGCTTCGTTCCAGACAGGAGGGGCATCGAGGCGACGCCGCGCCGATTGCAAGGCGGGCCAAATTGTCGTGCGCGACCGATGCGGACCGACGCGCGCCACGCGCAGCGGCCGCCAGCCGCGGGCGGGCGAACCATGGCCACGCGCGTCGCGCAGCGCCGGCAACGCGCGCTGGGGCGCGGAAGACCTGGGCCAGGCAGGCTGTCGGGCGCACCGCCTCCACCCAGCTATTCGCTTGACCGAAAGCGACGGGGCGCGACTCAGCTCGCCCAGCGGTTGGGGAAGTTACAGAGGCTACCAAGCACGCGCTGCCGCCTACAGCGGCCAGCTGCCGCGCCCGCAATTGTGGGCCCCATTTCCTGGCCCCTCGTCAACCGAATGGGGCGACCAAGCATTCGTTTCAATTTGGATGGGAATCGGCGCGGGGCGACCCCGGCATCAACCGAGCGCAGACGCGGCAAAATTGTTTACTCCCCACTACAACGGCGAGGTCTTCTGCAACCGAGAGTTTCACGGCGCGGTTGGGAACGCGTCGCTCGCCGCCCGTCAACGGGCAGCCGCCGACGCTGCCCGGGCCGCGGCCGCCGTCGCCGCTAACCAACTCAGCCTTCACCGACCCCGGCGAGCCGGAGACGGAGACTGTCGCGACCATTTATAACGACAGGAACAACTACACGGAGCACCTCGATGACATGCATCGCCAATTGCCCGCGCCCGCTTCGCGCGCCACTTCGACGAGGACAAAAGGGCAGCGAGGCGCCTGCGCCAGCTCATGCGGGCCCAGGGGGGCCGCGCGCAGATTCTTCAAGGGGCCAGCATGACCGTCGACGAGTTTCAGCGCGCAGGCGCGGCCGCGCCACCGACCGCCACGTAGGAGCCATCAGCCACGGCGTCACTTACGTCACCAACATCTGCGACCCCGGCGCTCGGGGCCTGAAGCTCGCCCAGCACGGGGGGGGGGGGGGCGACCCCAACTGGGCGGCGCAGCGGGCGGCGGCAGATCGACCAGGCAGCGTTCTTGCGCTTCTGAGTTCGCCGAGCCAGGCAGCGGCGCGCGCTGCGCGCGGCCGCGGCGCCGACGACGGCAGCGCGAGCAGCGCGCGACGGAGCTTATGACACCAGCCACCCCGCGCCACCAGCAGGCGTTACGCCCCCCACAAGACAGCGATCACAACAGAGAAGGCACCGCAAGAACGCCGAGCGCCGCCGCCCGAAGCGGCCTGCTTCACCGACGGCAGCAATGCCGACGCAAGGGCTGCCGCGCACGCGACCGATATCGCGAGCGAGACCAGCGCGCCCGACCGCCCTGAACCCAGATTGGCGCAGCTCGCACGAGAGAGCAGGCAACTTAGACGACGATGCCTGCCCGCCACTGTCCAAGTGTACGCCCCAGCAGAGCCCGCGCCAGCCTCTGCGCCCCAGGCGCGACCCATGGTCGACTTCCGCTGGGCGGGGCACGTCGCGGCCCATCCGCGACGCCACATCACAAGGCTTTCCAACCAACGATGCCGACAGTACACGAAGATGCGCAACTATGACTCCCGAGCCACGAGGCCGACGACCGCGGCGCGGACCACATCGCCACCAGCAGCATCGAAAACTGAACCGCCAACCTCCGGCGGCGCCGCAGGCGACCCCTGAGGAGGGCATGTGCCGCGTCGCCCAGATCGGCAGCAGCGAGCTGAACGCCGACCACCGCGCGGACGGCAACGCCGCGGAGGCCCCCGCCGAGAGACCGAACGCCACCTAGGAAATAACAACCCACTTGCAGCACGGGGCTACAGTCATTCTGGCCAATGACCACTGCCTTATGAGACCGCGGACGTCCGCGAGGATCGCCAGGAACGCGATCGAGCAACTCAGCGACCTCTTGGAGCATCCGCAGCGGCCACGCAGCGGCGCCGACACTACAGGGGCTCAACATGGCTCAACCGGAGACAACGACACGCCCGGTCTCCACCCCTGCGGCACCGCCACCTATCTCGAAAGCCGCGCAGCAATAGGGCAGAAACGCGGAGCGCCCCAGTGCGGCCAACGCGCAGCATGCCAATGCGGGAGGAGGCGGCGACGAGCAGAGGGCGACCGCGCCAAACGACCACGCCAGCATCGACGGCATGGATGCGCAGCATCTGAGACGGCAGGCGCCCCAGGGGCATCACAACACCGACCCTTCCCCAAAGGGGCGCCCGCAACCGCCGCTCCACTGGGGCCGCGGCCAGGCAACCTATTTCGAGAGCATCGCCAGCGCAGCGACCGCCGCGGCGCGAACGTGATGCCCGACCCTCGCTATCCAGTCATCGCAGTGGACACCAGCGCGGGCGACGACTCCAACGAGGGAGAGCGATGCTACGGCTATGGCTACTTGATCGGTACCACCACGACACGCGCGCACCCCGACCTACCATCGCGACGCGTAGACGCCGCCGATTTCAGCGCAGGGTCGCTGCCAGAGGCATTCCGCCGCCTCGACGGAAGCGGAACTACAACGAAACCACGACGGTTCACGCGCCCCGCCACAATGGGGGCGTCGGCCGCCCGCGCCCCCCCCCCGCCATGCAGCGCGCAGGCCTCTTGCGTGGGCCAGCCTTCCCGAGGTGCCATTTCACGCGCCCTTCCTCGCAACCCATCCGACGGGCATCGAGGCGAACGCCGCCTTCGAAAGCCTGCGGCAGGGCCTGCCCGCGAGGAGGCCTGTCCCAGCGTCGTCGCCACCCCCGCTCTTGCCAATTTGGATCCAAACGTCACGGGCGCCCTCCCTCGGCCCAGCTGTCTCCGAGCCACTTGCCCCAATCTCGACGCTCATCGCCAACAGACAGCAGCGTCGATGGTTGCGGTTTTATGGCATGATCTTCGAGCGCGGCCGCGAGGCGCCCATCCCGTCTGCTTGCGCGCGCGCACAGGTCGAATGCCGGTCGCAATGAGGTTTCCTCGAACCAAAGACGTTGGAGGAGGGAAAGCAACGCGCCACGACCCAAATGGCGCGCAGCCGAGCGCCTCGCAGCCATGGCGCGACACAGCAAACCCCACTGCCTAGCTCTACCACCACGGCGGACACCAGCTCATGATCTCCTATCATGCTCCCGCCCTGCTCCCATGCCTGGCAGACCATGCAGCGGACATCGGCGAATGCTGCAATCGACCCTCCACCGCGGTCGTCTCTCCGCCCTATTTCCACGTGGCTAGTTGGCTCAACCGCATTCCTTCGGATAGAGCTCCCTCGTGCACCTCCATGCTGGCAGGCCTCAATCAATGGCCCATGTGCAGGGATGAGGGAATTCGAGCGCCACGGGCCGCTCCAGGCCAGGGCCCCAGCGGCCGCGGCCCACCAGCTAGCCTCCAACGCCACTTCGCGCCCTCCTATTAGCGCCCCGCCTTCCCTCGCTCCATCAGGGACGCCCACCTCTCGCAGCTCGCCGCCTCCTGCCACCCGCCGCCGCCGTGGGCAGATGGCCCTCCTCCGCCGGCGGGCGCCCCCTGAAACGGCTTCCCGTCCCGCCCGCGGGCGCCGCCAGTCCGCCGTGGCGGATTGCGGGCGCCCTGGGTGGAACGGGGGGCTGCTTCTTCGGGGGGGCCGTCATGCCATCTCACTTGCAGCAAGGGCGGCCGTGGCCCGCCGGCCACGGCAGCCGCGCCCCGTCGCAATTTTGCCCCACCTTGTTTCCGCAGCCCTCTCCGCGTATCTGCGCGGCCACCTGCCGCCACACACATAAACACACACACACACACTTGTTTTAGTCGGCAGCGCAGAGGGTTTTCAGGCGCGGACAGCAGATGGAAGTGCCAATGGCGATCGAGCATTGTCGAAGGCACAGTGCACAGACGTGCATACTGTCAAATGCAGCGATAGGGAAGGAAGAATTGTAAATCCAAACGCAGCGCGCAGCGACCAGAAAGCCGAGGAGAGAATTCAAGTCGAGGTAAACTGAAGCGGCCACACATACAACGTCAGTATGTTCAGCCTCGCATCTGTCGGCACTGTCGGCTGCTGCTTGCCACGCGGGTTCACGCCGCTTTGTTCTTCTTCAACCATATCACAGGTTCGTTGCAGGGAAGTCCTCGCCGTTTTCTAGTTTCTCTCCCCCCAGGGGTGGTTGGAGGACTTGGCTACTCGGCCCTCATGATGGGTCCTCCTCGTTTTTCAAGTTTCCTTCGACTTCTATAGCTAAGTTAGTTTGATCTGGTCATCCCTCCCAGGGGCGACCGTCGCTGAGGGGGGGGCGGTTAGGTTCGACCCGAACCGCTGGTAATCCTCGCCTTTTTGTAGTCTTTCTCCCCGCGGAGTTGGCTGGGGGACTTGGCTACTCCGCCCCCGTGATGGGTACTCCTCGTCTGTCGAGCTTCCTTCGACTTCTACAGCTACCTTAGTTTGATATGGTCATCCCTCCCAGGGGCGACCGTCCCTGGAGGGCGGGGGGACGGGCGCGTTCGACCTGAACCCCGAAGCGGGCAGCAACAGTGACAGGAGGAGAAGGAGATGGAGAAAGAGGGACAAAGGCAGGGGCAGGGACAGGAGCAGGTGATGTTGATGGTGGGGAGGAGAATGAACAGCTGCAGGACTGGGAGGAACACGAGCACGGGAGCGAACATAGAGCGGCAGCTGCGTCACCACCGCCAGCGCTGGCATTACAACCAGCATCAGCATGGAGCCCAGGCTTGCGCCGACGAAGTGGAGGAGTGAGTGAGGAGGGGGAGTGAGTGGGCAGGAGGAGCGAATGAGGAAAAGGATGGAACGGACAAAGATGGTGAGGGGAGAAGGGTTGTAAGAGGAGGCGATGTGAAACCAGGCTGGGAGCGAACATACATGGGAAAAAAGAACTAGGGGCGACCCCAATTAGGATACCTCTTGAAAATGACACGGGAGCGAACTCGACGACATGAACCTGGCGTGCCCGCGCAACTGAACTCCACAATGAGCTTGGATTGCTGGAGCGGCTTCGAGGGTGTTTGGAAGAGAGAAGAACAGGATAATGCGATAGATTTCGCGCGCAGAATGGTCACATGTGTTGTCCAACGCTCCTGCCGATGTGGGCGCTACCGAGAAACAGCGGCGGCAGCCAGCTGAGAACAGCTGAGAAAGGCATCAGCGAACGCGTCACACGGTCGAGTTTGGGGTGGTGGCGGCGGGGGACCCGAGGAACCCGGGGAACCCGAGGAACATCCAGGAAACGGCCAGCGTAACAATAGAAGGCACCGGGGGCGGGGATCCCGAGGAACCAAAGGAACCTCCGAGGAACGAGCAAAGTAACAACAAGATGCGCCAACCTTGAAACAAGAAAGAGCCCCTTAGGCAAGCCTAATTGGGGAATGGAGGATGCCGGCAGGCGTGGAACCATATGCCCAAATAATCTCAGTTTCGGCCTCCAAGTGTCTGGCGTTCTTCCCAACCGTCCTTCATACACGTTCTGACTGGATATGATATTCTTGGCATGGCTCGGACACGTGTTTTTTGTTCTCGGCGAGAACCATCGAGGAGCATCATGGGTCACCTTTCGAAGCAAGCGCGCACGACATCGAAAGATGCACAGGGAATGGACGCCCGAGCGATGGCAAGTAGTGAGGAGCGGTTGCAAGGGGGTGCGGGCAGGGAAGGGAAGGAGTGCGAGGGGGGATCGGCCGACGAGAACGTGCCGAAGCGTCGCCGCTGCTGCCAGGTTTTACCACGGTGCTGGTGCGTGGGGACAGGGACGCCTACCCGTCGCGGAAGCCGTGACAGCGGTTTTGCTCGGCGTGCTTGTTTCTTGTTCCTCACATTTTGCGTTTTCGCGAGTTGCGCTCATTGCAGCGTTTGCCGGTCGAATCCCAACATGCGTCGGTCCCTGGACTGTGGTAACTTGGACGCTCCTCCTGCAACTGCCCCAGAGTGTTTTTTCTCAGGGACAGCGAAATGTGGTCAGAAGTGGTAAGGAAGGATTTTTGGAGGAAGTTCGGGTGGCAGGCCCAATATCACAAGCAGCGCACATGCACATACATGCTTTAGTGAATCGCCTCGGTTATTGGGCACCTGGTCGTCTGGAGCAGCCCGTCTGAGCGTTGCGTGGCCCGCTGCAGACCTCTTATCCCCCCCACCAGCAGCCTGCGTCGATCTCCGACTCGGCTCACTTGTGACCAGCTGGCGCAGGAAGAAGAGCTCCTCATCAACGGACTCTTCATCCCTTGCCTGCCCCCCTGCTGCTGTTCCTCCCTGGGAGGCCTCAGAGACTCAAAATATCGGCCCGCCCTTCTCGTCACCATCTTTATTCTTCTCTTGAACGTTCTGATCCCCATAGGGCACCTAATCCTTGCCCCTTATGGATCCACCCCTATTGATCCTCCCATCGATCCTCCTCCCACTTACTCATCCTTCCCCGCATGCCCCAGCGACTTCCACTGCCCCCCCCCGGTACCGCCTTCTCCATTCATGAATTTCGCCCATTCCCCAATTATCTTCCCACTGTCCCAATCTTACTCTCCCCTCCCCCGCCCACTTCCAGATTGGTCTTTCCCCCCGCTGGCCTCCCCTGTGGCCCCATCCCTCTCGCCATGAAGGTGAAAGGAGTCCCGAGGCAAACAGGTCCTAGACCCTGGAGTTGTGCCCTCTTCATCCCGAGTCTCTTTTGACTGTCCTCGGGCCCGTCTTTGGACCCAGGGGCCCGAAGACCGTGAAACGTTTTCAGGACCCCTTTCCTCCAGGTCCGGTTTCCTCCATCGCCTCCATTCCTTAACCCCGGTTCCTAGTGTTCGCCAGTGTATCCCACGGCGACACGTCTCCGAGACCCAGTTCCTGCATGCTAACCCATCGCCTTCGTCACCCCCCCCAGCTCATAGAACTCGCTCGCCGCTCGTGGATCGCGCGGCGAGCAGCTTCCGGGACACCCTCCGCCAGAACCCGTTGGTACTAATCCCATAGCTGTCGCCTCCTTCCCCTCACAGTCTCTCTTTAGGGCTCGCCAGCGGATCCCATTCGGATCTCTGCGCTGCGGGATCGTCGGCCTCGCGTGCCAGGCAGGGGGGCGCGCCAGCTGCGGCTCCACGAAAGGGAGGGCCCCGCGGGGAGCAGGCTCTCAGGCGGGCGGGGTGGGCGCGCCAGGCCGCCCCTGGCCAGCTGAGCGCCACAGGGAGGCGTCGGCACGAAGTCGATCTGGTTCCGTCCCTGCCGTCGCCGGCTGCCGCCGTCGCCACTGATCACTGACGTTGGCCATCGCACGTTCCTGCAGCACTTCACGGGCGCAAGCGAGCTGTAGAAGTTGAGCGTTTTTTTTGTGTGCGTGCGCACCGACATGCTCGTTCGTTAGCCCCCGCGTAATCAATGGACAGATTACCTTTTAGTGGCCGAGTCCATGAACTTCCAAGCCACTGAGATAGTAGATCAATAGGCGATAATAGAACAAGACCGTAGGTCAAGCATAATGTCAAAGTATTCTGATCCTGTGGCAGATAACTGGCTATCAGCCGAAAGTTTTGATATATTCCAGAACATGGCTAGGCAATTCAGGGCGGTGCGATGCAGAACCCATGGTGCCGATCGACGTGCCTGGTGCCCATCGAAATTGCAGATCCCCATAGTTCCTAAGGGAACACCACAGGGAGAGAGAGAGAGAGAGAGATAGATATGTTGATCGAGATTTTTCCGCGCTCATTGATCCAGGGGTCAGCTCACTGAGTACATCGTCAGATTCGCGCCATGTTGAGAGCGAAGCTGCGGGTTTAGCTGGTTGCTTAGCTGAAGGTCATGTCATGATGTCAGACGAACATGTCGGTATATTTGGGGATTGTTCAACCATTTTTCAGGTATCCCGTTTGCGATAATCTACAGGAGCCCAACTGGTAGAAACCTCTCAACCACCAGTTGACACGTTGAGATTGGGAGCCAGATGTGGTACACCACCCGAGGGCCGAGGGACCCCACTGGGGATAGGCCGTTCCCGAAGAGGCCCAAGGGGCGTTCCGATAATAGCATGGAGGTCGATGATTCGCCAACGCAGACTTCGGTTCAACCGGGAGCCATGCAGCGGTGTCTCAGTATCCCATCATTCGCGAGGTGGAAGGGGCAAACGAGGAAGGCTTTGGCTTGGCAGGTTCAACCTGTCAAGTTCAAGGCGCTGAAAAGGGGGGTACAGAAATGGATGTTGCGCCCCCGCCGAGATCCCCGATCCCCACAAGACATGCGAAGCTCGGATCTCCTCTGACAGGTCGCGCTAGATCGAGGATCAGCCGCGGGTTCAATAACCCTTCTGGATAATATTCTTCGGTTTCCTGCTGGGCCCAGGAAAGGCGCGAAACAGAATGGGCCCTCTCGTTAGCTAGCGCGCAGAGCGTGTTCCGTCACATGCAAGCATCGTATTGTTAGTTGGTGCTGGACGGACTAGATTGATCGGCAAGAACATAAATACCAGCATATCATGATCATGGTACGGCAACAGAAGAAAAAGAAAAGGCCGCTGCGAGCAGATGGCTGTTCAGATGAAGATGCAAATCGTAAAAGTCGAGCGATAAAAATATCGATTTATGTTGATAGCCCAGAATGCTCATCTGGAACAACAAGCGACCTCGGAGGCAGTTCAACTGTCTCTGCAGGAAGCTGAAAACGACAAAAAGTTGAGGAGGCAGCTAGGTGGGCAAGCATGGAGGAATAAGAGATTGCGGCGAAGAAGATGGCTGAGAAAGAGCAACCAATGCAGCACGAATTCGGATAGGCCCGAGTGGCTGCATCTTTTTCTGCCCGCTGCAGGGGATCGTGGCGCTGGTGTGCCACGCGAGCGACGCCGTTTTCAAGGGCAAGGGCGACTTCTGGACCGATCCGCACGCCGCGCGCATCGAGGTGAACCAGCCGGCCGCGGAAAGGAATTCGACGTCGAGGGGGGGTAGTGGTGTTGTAAATCTGCTGGGCGAGGGGGGCGCCGCGTTACGCCCCGACGGTGTCGACGTCGTTGCAAGGTGGGCGCGGTTGCCGCTGCGGGGTGTGATCAGCCGCGGCAGGAGCAGCAGCAGGCTGTCGCATTCCGAGCACAACCGAGCCACGACATGAAGACGATTTGGCTCGCGGCGACAAGCGGGCCCTGAAGTCCACGGGCAAGTACCATGGCGCCATGTGCGCGTGCGCGGCGCAGGGCAAACCGCTCTTTGTCGGCGAAGAAGGCCTTCGTGGCGTTCGCGTTTCCGGACGCGCACCGAGCCACCGCCTTCCGAGTACAGAAACTCCGCATCGGGGCGCCGTTCATGGCGCCCAAATCGCGGAGCTTACCATGCTTTTAAAGGAGAAGGGCGGGGAGGTGAACGCGCTGTTCAAATCTGCAGTGTTTCGTCAGTTTCAGCCGGCGGAGAAGGGGGCTGCGGCCCGGGCGCCCTACATGGCCAGCGTCGACGCGCCCGGGAAACGCGTGCCCCCCTGGCAAGAGGGGTGGGCGCAGCAGGTGGCGTTGTTTAGGAAATTCGAGGAGTGTTGCGTGTTTTGGTTATTGTTTGGGGCACAGTGGGCATTAAGCCCCCGGCGCCCCGCCCCCCCCGTGATAACGTAAGGCCCCCCCCCAGTGCGCCCCGGGCGCTGCCGCCGTGCGCATCGGGATCCGCATAGGCCTCCGCTTAGGAATCCGCGCGGGGGTCTGGTCCGCAGTCGTCGTCGTCGTCGTCGTCGTCGTGGTCGTGGTCGTGGTCGTGGTCGTGGTCGTCGTCATTGTCGCTCGTCGCTCGTCGGTCATCGTCGTCGCGCGCGCGGCCGCGGCTGTAGCCTGTTTTTTTATTCCGGGCCAATGACGGCCGTCATCTGGGGAGGGGGGGTGCCGATGACGTCACGTTTCGCGCCGACGGCGTCTGGGAACACCTGGGAATGACCGAGGACGGGTAGCAGTAGCACGTAGGTGGCGATCTGCACTTCTGCGCTTTTGTACACCACAGTGCTTGCGTGCACCACAGCGCCTGCGTATACGACACCGCTTATGTAAACCACAGCAGAAGCGTGCAACACAACGCCAGTTTGTGTGTCTATGTGTGTGAGCGTGTGCGTGTGCGTGTGCGTGTGTGTGTGTGTCTGTGCGTCACAGTGCTTGCGAGCGCCACAGCGCCTATGTACATCATAGCGCTTGCGTGCGCCGCATCAACCGCGCGCAACACAGCACCAGTGTACACCACAGTGCCTGCGTGCACTACAGCGCATGCGTACACCACGGCACTTGCGTGCTCCGGAGCAACCGCGTGCAACAAAACATTTTTGTTGCATATAGAACGTTAGAAGGCATCTTTACGGCAAAATGGAGCGCCAGTGGAATCTTCAGAAAACAATGGCTTCGTACGTCTAGGATTCGGAGAGGAAACCTTATGGAAAATGGAGCGCCGCTGGTATCTTCAAGTCCTCTCGACTCCTCTTGCATCAGCGTTAATCCTCCAATCAGCGTCCAAGAGGCTCCAGCAGAATTGGCCGTCCGAAAACCAGTGGATTGATTCAGTCGAGTATTCTGCGGTTCGCGTTGAGATGCGCAAGTTCGCTGTAGCGGCTTACTGTAGCGCCGACCCGCACGATATGGGGGGAAACGCGATCGAGGAGGAGGAGGAAGAAAAGGAGGACAACGAGGTGGAGGTGGAGGAGAAAGGAGGAGGGAAGAACGTCGCAGTCTATATTCAGTACCTCCCTGTGGCGTGGGGTTCAATTGTCCGCAGCACATTCTCAGTTACATGCTCCTTGTACCTGTTTAGTGCACGCAGGCATGGTGTATACCAGCGCTGCGTTGCACGCGGATGCTGTGGTGTAGACGGGCGTTGTGTTGTGCACGGGCGCTGCGGTGCACGCAAGCATTGTGGTGTACATAGGCCATGTGTTGCACATGGTTGCTGCGGTGTACACATTCGCCGTGGTGTACACCGGCGCTTGGTGCACGCAAACATTGTGGTGTACATAGGCGCTGCGTTGCACACGGCTGTCGCGGTGTGGTTGCACGCGCGCGGTGGTGCACGCGAGCATTGTGGTGTACACTGGCGCTGTGGGGCAGATCGCCACCTACACGCTGGTTTCAGTTGGCCCCAGTCATCCTAGGCATTCCTGGACGCCGCTGGCGCGGAACGTGACGTCATCTGTGGGGGGGGCGGGCCGACGATCCCCGAAAGTAAAGAGAATTCCTGCGGTGCCGGAGCCACGCGGCGGGTGGAGGCGTTCCGATAGACCCCCCTTGTCCCCCCCTGTGACGCTCATTATCGCCGAAAATACAGAAACGCGCTCGTGTGA